TAAAAATATTCCACCTATGTAAAACTAATAATTTTTTATACTTAATAATCATTCTCATTATATAAATTTTAGAAAATCACTTGTAATTAATTAATCAAAAAATTTTCCTCTTTACTAAAACTTACATCCAAAAAATTTTGGTAATATATATCTAGAAAAGACCATTATTTAAACATTATCCAATGTTATTAAGCATGCTTCATTTATGTTTCAATTTCATTAAATCAATTAGAAACTTCAATTTTGATAATTATTTATATAATATGGAATTTTATTTTATTTTTTTAGGGTTCCTTATAATAAGGTTAAAATCTTCTTTGATATAGTGTCAAGATAAAAAATTTTAAACTAAATTAACTTAAACAAAATAAATTAAAACTTCCATCTTCAATGAAATCAATTTCCTCGCATAATTCAGTTGCATCAATTTTTGTATCAAATCTAAGCTTCTCAATAAAAGTAATTTAATCCTCTTAATTAACTAAGTCAACACTTATACAAACGATAGAATATTCAAATTTACGGAATAATGAACATATAACCTTTTCTTGTATTTTTTTCTTTTCATCCAAAGAATCGATTGGTTCTTCTTACTAAGGGATTAAGAAAAAAGGTTTTATAATTTAGGTATCAATGTGCTTGATTTTAGTATAATCTTCTTCATTTCCTTCTAAAATATAACAATTTGAAATATATGAGTAGCATGTTAAAAAAGGTTGAAATAATATAACTTAAATCTATCAAGAAGGAATGTTACTTTTATTTTAGAGCATGATGTTAAAAATCAAATATAAAATAGTTGTAAAATATAATAGATTAAATGGAACAAAAATTAATATATAATTGCATTTTATCAGCGTTCTAGTTGGAAAATATTATATGTAAAAAACAATGAAGGAAACACACTATTAGAATCTTAAATGAAGGATTAATATACTTTATAATTATGGTTTTCCTTTATTAATGATGTATCCTTTTGTGTATGGAATCAATTAACATTAATTTTGTTTTTAATAGAAAAAGATTCTTATCTTTAGATAGAAGTTAATTCTAAAGAAAAAGTAATTTTAAATTATCATTTATTTCAACACACAAAAGTTATAAAAAAATTATTAGTATAAATGAAATGCTAAATCATAATTGTTGTAAATTCAACAGAAAATAGTAATTCAAAAGTAAATGATTCTTCAATTAATGAGCTCAATCTAAATTTGAAAAATGAAAATAATAAATTCCATTTTTATTCAGATATTCTTTTCCTATAAAACTAATTCGAATTAAACGTTTTTTTGAATCCTTATATTAATCAGACTTATTAAATTAGTAATACTCCATTATTTTTTTTTGAATTTGATAAATTATTCTGTTAATATGATCAATCAAATAATACTATATTATTTTATAGATATTATCAATTAAACAGTTTTATAAAACCTAAATAGAAGTATCTCTACCTAATTCACCCCAAAGATTTGTTTTAAAATGATACTTTATTCATGTGTTTAAGAACAATTTATGAAAATAACACATTAGAAGAGAAATCCTAATTAGTTGAGTAGATAACAGTATAACATAATTGTTAAAGTAAATTCTAATAAAAAATCTGGAAGTCAGAAGCACTATTTTTATTCCAAAATAGTTAATTCAATTTATATAATAATGAGGGTAGCATAAGTGTAAGTATACAAAATAATCAAAAATTTTTGAATTCTTGTTTATCAAAGCTTCAATCATTTTATTTTAAAGATAAGATTGAGTTGAGATAAATAAATATTCCTTATTACATAAGTTTTCAAAATGATTCTCATTTTTATATTTACAATTGTAAGCAAAATAAAATAATTATTTCAATCAATAGAGATTAATTTGAAGTACTTGAATCTTAAGGGGACTATTATATAATAAACAAAAACAATACCAATCATTTGAGAGTAATTTAATTTTAAGGTGAGTAATTACTCTAATTAAAAATAAAGTTTGAATAAGCAATTATAAATTCTTAAAAATTTTCATAAAGTGTAATTCTATACATGAATAATTCAAATTTACCTCCTTTAATATATTAAAATTTTTAATTAAATGAAGATGGAAAATATCTTTCGAAGAGTCTTTATTAATCAGAACCTATTCTATTTTATTAAGAAATGGGATATTAAAAGTTAATTTAGTATAAAAATTTTATAGCTGTAGAAAATCAAGGAAATGTTAGATGTTTTAAATTTTAAGTGGGATTAATTATTTCGATTTAAACTATAAAAATCACAAATAAAGACTATTCAATAATAGCAATTTGGTACAATCTAATAATTTTACATTACAAAATTTCACAAGATCACTTATCCTTATTTATTGTAATGATTATGAATTACATTAAATTTTTAATTATAGTTTTTCTGATTATGTATTTTCATATCCATTTAAGTACATTAGAAACCCTTCTCATTTAGCTATTTTAATGAAGTAAAACAAAGAATTATATATAGCTATTTTTAAATATAATATATCTTCATTGCAATTTTAAGAAATTATTGAAACTGATGATTCCTTTTTTACTTTTTATTAAAGTGATCTATTGTATTATTGGTATAAAGAATGGAGATATTTACTTTTAAATCAAATTTTGGTAGAAGTAGAAATAAATCATAATTTTTTAAAGAACTTATCATTACTCTATTAGAAAGATTTATATCCAAATAAATAATAAGAGAGAAGTATTTAACTGATATTGTAGATTTAAAACAATTGTTAAAAGATATATCCTCTTAAGAATTTATTTA